CAGCAGGTGGTCTGGCAGCAGACTGGGCGGCAACAGCTGGAGATGCAGCAGGTTGGCCTGCAGCAGCTGGAGCCACAGCTGCTAGAACCACAGCAGGAGGGTCGGCAGCAGCTGGAAATGCAGCAGCTGGGATGACAGCAGGTGGGCTGGCAGCACACAGACTGGCAGCACTGGGGCCTGCAGCAGCTGGACACACAGCTGGGGCGGCAGCAGCTGGAAACACAGCAGCTGGAACTAGAGCAGGAGGGGCGGCAGCAGCTGGAAACGCAGCAAGTTGGCCTGCAGCAGGTGGTCTGACAGCAGCTGGGGCGGCCGCAGGTGGTTCTGCAGCAGGTAGTCTGACAACAGCTGGGTTGACAGCAGGTCTCCTGGGAGAGGCCTTGACCACAGCCCTGGTCAGAGCAGACAGAGCCACAACAGGAGTTGACCATGGTGTCAGAGGGTGGAAGAGGTTCTGGGTGTATTTCCAGGAGAGTGAAGTTCTTGAGTCTGGAAGTCCCTTCACCCCATGTCCCCTTTTATACTCTGCCAAGGGGCTCCTGTCATCAAGTACGATACACTTCCTTGTTATTGTCTGTCCTAATAAATAGGTAATTATCAAATCCGGCAAGTTTGTTTTCCTGGTTCAATTTTTCAAGATGGATGGAAAACACTGTTTCCTTTCCTGCTGTGTGAGGATTCATCCCATCGCCTCTTCCTCAATTGCATCTTATGTGCCTTTCTTGCTTTAGTTTCCTCTAAGAGAGCTGTCACATGTCACATGACATTCTGCCTCTATATTTGTCAGTCTCATTTTGCATAGCACGTCATTCGAGTGACAACGATTCTTATAGGCCCACAATTCTTTTGGGGGACCAGGTGGATCAAACTACATTTAAGTCTGATGGCTCATTCATTGAAGGGCAGGTGGGCAAGAAGGTCTGAATGTATTATTACCTATGAAATGGGATCACAGGCATGTGAATCAGAAGACTATCAGGTCATACCCCCTCGCTACTGCACAACCCATATTCTAGCCTTTTTTATTTTTTAATGCATTTTATTGAAATGTAATTTATGTACAGTGAAATACACAAAATTAAAATGGCATGGATCAGTGTTT